AGTAATATGGACCTGACTCAGATTGTCGTTCAATTTTTCGTGATAAATTAAAGTACATGAGGTGCAAGTATTTTGGGTATGAGGATGAGGTATGTGACGTGTGTCTATTACTGTAAATCTCTGTCTGCGATTAATTTGACATCATTTTATATATCGAAAATAGGATTCATTAATCCGATAGAGTGTAACTCTACCATGTGCAACGCGCCAATAATATGTGAATTTAAACATAAGCCCATGTTCGAAGCATTTGTAATTCACGTGCTTCAATTTATGACAAAAAAAAAAAAAAAACTAAACAGCAGTTTGAGTCAAGTTCACATTGCTATTAATTCATAATATTTAGGGTATAAATTAAAATTTTTAATGTTGAGAGTACAAATTAAGAATTAAAATGTCATTCTGGGTGCAAAGTGAGATTAGCCCTTTACACTCTAACATCCAACACTTGGAACAAAAAAAGAATGGCACTGCCAGTGGAAGCTGATTCTATTGGCACAACATGTTAAAATAGGTAGTGGTGTGACCTTCCTTCCCTTCACAAACTTAATTCCTCCAGCCAAAAAAAGGGGACTGAATCCACGAAACAAACAACAAAGGCCACTCCTGAAACCTCATCTGCACCATTTAATTATAGGAGTGCTTCAGCCATAAAGCAGCATTGATTCGTTGCTTAGAGTATTAAAAAGTCTGGCCATTGGGGAGGTACTGGCTCCAATCCAATTAAAAGGTGAAAGGACATCACATTCCACTTCTCACATTGTTTTTTCCCACTAAACTGAGAAAATATAATACTAGAGGACACTGCGTTATCTTGAATTCTCAATAGGAGCGGCTCAACTTAATTTGATATTTAAAGCGGAAATATTAAATTAATATTTTTTTATTTTTAGTATTATTTTTTAAAAAAAATTAATTTATTTTTAATTTTTTATGTGAGAAAGAGACAAAAGAAAAATATATTAATATTGTCGAGAAAGAGATTTCAATCTTTTTTTTGTTTTTTACCACATAGAGAGAGAGAGACAGTGTTTAATTTTAACTTTTATATTTGTTTTTTTATTTTTTTACCGGAGAGAGAGAGAGAGAGAGTAGGAGTAAATATGAGTTGACTTTTGAATATTTTTTTAATTTCTAAGTTTTGAATGTTATGTATTGGATAATAGACCCAAATTATTGCAATAAAAATTTAAAAAATTTGGAGACCGGTCCTCTTATATGGACTTATTTGGAAATAAATCCGACAAAAAAACTTATTTGATTTTAAGTTCGTTTTTTGTCAAGTTTACTATTGTACCCCTACCCTGCAGAATAACAACAAACGACGTCTGATAATTATAGAAAGTCACATAGGTTAGATCATTGAAGTATATATGAAAACCATTAATTTAATTATATATAGAAACCGTTGATTGAATTATATATGGAAACCTTTGATTGAATTATATATAGAAACCGTTAATTGAGTTATATATGAAAACCATTTATTAAATATTCTGATAATTAACGAAAGTTTTATATGGAATGTATATATTACGATAGTTATATATAGAATTTTAATGTATGAATAAATTGTTGGTATATTAAGTAAAATTCGGATCACAAGATTTCTTTAACAATTCAAATTCAATAGTAACATGATACAAGCATAGGGTGACATTGTAGCATGACATTATATTATCAATATCCTAACTAGCATACAGTAACATGATACAAAATCACCAAGTGCAATGGATATATAACAATTATCAAGAATTATGTGCAAAAATAACATGAACAATGACACCCTATTAACTTATGTGAACATAGTAACATCAGCTTAGTAACATTAGTTTTTTAACTGAATCTTAGTAACATCATTTTTAGTACTATCATCTTAGTAACATCATTTTTAGTACTATCAGCCAAACATAATTTTGAGTTCTCATGTTACAATTTTATGGAATGAATATTACATTATACATAATATTATAAATCCATTAATTTTTTAACTGAATCTCAGTAACATCAGCCAAATACAATTTTGAGTTCCCATGTTTCAATTTTATGGAATGAACATTACATTATACATAATATTATAAGTCTATTATAATGTTACTATATTTACATCAACTAATTGGGTGGTATTTTTCATGTTATTTTTGCACATAATTCTTGATAATTGTTTTATATTCATTACGCTTGGTAATTTTGTATTATATTACTATATGCTGGTTAGAATATTGATAATATAACGACATGCTACAATGTCATCCTAAACTTGTATTATATTACTTTATGTTTGTATCATGTTACTATTGAATTTGAATTGTTAAGTAAATCTTGTGATCTGAATTTCACTTAATATAACAACGATTTATTCGTACATCAAGCTTCCATATATAACTATCATAATATATACATTCCATGTAAAGCTTTCGTTAATTATCAGAATATTTAATAAATGGTTTGCATATATAACTCAATTAACGGTTTTCATATATAATTCAATCAACAGTTTTCATATATACTTCAATGATCTAATATGTAACTTTTTATAATTAGATAAAAATCACACCGTTAGGGGTAATTTTGAGATTTAAAAAAAATGGACTTAAATACCTACATATAAGTTTAATCATAAACTTAACTCCAAATAAGTTTCCTTCCTGGACTCAAATCATTATAACTCCATCTACAAGGACTCACCTCCAATTTTCACTAAAAATTTTGATTGGATTTAATTTTTTGGGGCTTTTTTGTAAGGCTTAAAATTTAATAAATTTAATTTTTTTTGTGAGTTAGTGATGTACCTAAAATTATAAGGGCTTCTAAAAATTTGGGACCTAAAGCCCATACTTCTTTTTTTCCATATTGTTGAGCCGACCCTAATTCCCAAGGCCATGGTAGTCATTAATATTTTGTCAATCATTTCGGATGAGACGAGTTTATGTCAAATTTTAATAGGTTTGTGTTAGGAAACACTTCACTAATACCCGATTTATTTATTAATTTGTGTCTAACAAATCATGTCATATCCAGTTTATGCCATCTATGAACGGTATATAACTAATATATAAACGAGTAGTATCGCATATTTCTTTTGATTGACTTCACTCATACTTGATTCATTTATCAATTGTGTCGTGTTGAATCCACTCGTTTATAAGCATGTGATTTAAAGAAGATTTAAACTCTTTAATTTTATATCATGTTCATGTCGTATTAACGAATCATGTCATATTTTGACATCAGCCATATTTGGGTCCAAACAATCACTTCCTAATAGATCACCTATCATTAATGTTAGTGAGACCCATATTTATAAGTGGGTTTTATACCAATACACAATTAATGATCTACTATTCAATAGAATTGAGTGAAAGTGTAATAAAGAGGATCTGAATCCTTATAAAAAAAAAAATTATGTGGTAGCTCTTAAATCTCCATGCGTGAGTTGATGACCAACTCAACAAAAATGTCTCTCAATTATTTCAAAGGTCGGTTGTATGAATCTTGATAGTTAATAGACCTGACACAACCGAATACTTACTACTTTATCCGGGCTTGAAACCGAGTCTTGAAAAGATAGACCATTAACATTAAGCACAACACAAAAGAGAGTTAGCTGGCGGCCAACTCTTGGTCGACATCAAGGCGGCTAATCAGATGTACATCTTGGTTCCAGCACCAGCAGGGTACCTGTTGAAGCTTTGAGCAAACGGATAAAGCGGAAAGATCTTCTGAATATATGGTGTGTGCATGACTGATAAAATAACAGTTCCTACACTAATAAACACATAATCTAATGTCTCAAAAGTCTTTACCATAAAGAATTACGACCCCACGAAGAAAATGATGTTTACCAAACTGATAAACATAGTTTGAACGAATGATTGCATTGTGACATTTAAAAGAACATTCCAATGGTTACGCACAGAATGTGAAAACGATGTTTTCATGATAAACAGACTGCTGTACCACACCAACAAAAAATAAAGGACTGCATAGGAAACATTATATATTGTTTCAGTCTCTCTCACATAAGCTTTTCATACTTTTAGCCAAGTGAAAGTGAACCATGAAATCAAACCACTCGTCCATTCTTGAGACCACTAAAATCAATCCACACATCAATTGATACCACTATGCAACACTTAGCTCCACCAATACACTTGCAAGTATAGACAAACTGGAAAGAGCCAGCAAATATAAGACCCCGACACCAAGCACCAAATTTTCCTAATGCATAGGAGGCACACCTTGACACTATCTTGAACAAAATGAAAAATTTTCCATCACCACCAACGGATAGAGTTACTACTCAGACTGAGCCAATCTTACGTCAACATTCAATATTCAATATCAGAATACACGAAGGCTATGCAATTAATCACACAAAGGAGTCATCTTTATTTTCTTCTTTTTTCGTGGGGGATGTTAAGTTATGAAGACCAATAGAGACAAAGTACGACATAAGTTAAGACACACAAGGCAGTATATACACAAAGCCTGCCCTGGTAACACATCACATGGGAAGCCTACACACATTAACATTGCAAAACAAATGGAGCTAGACAACCCTTATTAGTGGATTAATTAGCAAAATAGTATAAGTTGCAAACAATTAACTGTCCCTTGCTTCCCCCCCACCCAACCACACACACAAAATTAAAAAGGAAAAGAAAGGGGAAATTAAAAATGGGACTTACTTGAACAGCTCTTCAAAGCATTGGGAACACCTGCAATGTGATTCACATGGACCAGGAAAGCCTCACTGGCCACCTTTTGATGCATGGATCCAAAAATTTGAGAGCCACACCTTACTCAAAACCCTTGCTTCAAGGCTCCATAGCGGAAAAAAAATATTGTCAAGCAGACTGTTGCAACCCTCCTCTCAGAGATGGTTTTTAGTATTTCATGCTGCATTCCAGATAACTTTCTCCTTTTCTCTGCCTAACCTTACCAGAATATTTTTATTGGAAACCTTGGAGTCTTGTATGATATGAAGATAAAAGAAAACTTTTGATTTAACAGGACAGGATGCTACAAGCAATCATTAAACAACTGATTAGCTGTGTCTTGATGACACAAAGTCAACTATTCAAACTTCTAGCAGTTCTGTTGCAATCAATCTCCTAGTTTAACAGTGAATGAAATCAATAAATCTACAACAAAATAACAAGATAAAAACCTGCTAACCAAACATTTTCACCTATAGCAGCAGTATCTACCAGAATTACCAGAGGATCTAAATTTTTAAATGTCAAATGTCAGGGATTAGACCACAAAAAAAGAGTTAAGAACTTCATTGCCAATATCTCTACTGTAGAGGGACCAAATTAACTGTGCATGTCAGCCATTACTTAGAACTCTTAGCCTTCTTCTCAGCAGCAGCAGCAGCTTTAGCAGCAGATTTGGCCAGGGTAGTTGGTTTCATAACACTTTTTGGGTTGAGTGCCTTTCTAATTTTAAAAACGGCCCATGCAGTTCCAATGGCATGCCCTGCAGCATCAAGCCCTTCACTTGTTGCCTTGGCTGCCTCTTCCCCATACCTGCACAAGGACAAAATGGAATCCTCCAAATTAATGTTCTTAATATAATGGCAACACAAAACTTAAATGCTGTCTGTTCTCTCTGACATGCTCTTATTCTTACAAAGATGGTACTAAAACTACCAGGTGATGTCGGAATGGACTCACACAACTTCTTACCCACTTTAGTATGGGAAAAAGTAGGGTTTTGATCGCCCTAAATACAAATGTTACTGCACCACATCACAGGATGCAAGTCTATTTGTATTCAGTGTCAGAGCTGAGAAATGTGCTGAAAGTTTTAGCACGTGTTATACAAATAATCATGAACATACTTGGAAACTTCAATGATGAGATAAATATATGGATTAAGACTACATTGAATTTTGAAGCAATTCAAAACCCACCCACCCACCTACCCCCCACCCCCCAAAAAAAGAAAGAAAAATAAAAAGAAAACAAAATGAAGGAGGAGAAAAATAAATTAAGAAGATGTAGTCTTTAATTTACTCCACAAACATGTACTTTGACTACACCAAAACTGCCATTTCTAATGGTAAAAGTTTGTCAATTTATCCACACACTAGTCTGCTATACCTTCACAACTAAATTCATCTGAATTCAATACTCCGGTAGAAGCAAGATATGACACTAGACTTTATTAATCATTTCATTAATAAAAGATTCTTTAGTTTATATTGATTCCTTTTTAGGATGGTTGGGTTTTTTTTTCCTTTTAGGTGTTCCACCGCTTTATTCATCATTGAATTAACATGGATCAACTTCACCTGTGGGAAACAAGTCCAGTCGTCACTGTGGATGAGGTTGACATTACATTCTTCCCAGCTACTTCAACAGCATCACAGACCTTGTCTATACACAAAGGACACTAATTAAGTTCGTGTAAAAAGAAAGAACTGCCTCAAGAAAGGAAAATGAATTCACATGTTCACTACCATTGAAGATTGTATTTTTCTTAAAAAGAAAATCAAACACAAGGAAATATTCAGTGTTGCAGGCTAGAATCAAAATGATTATATGAACTTATTTACCCTATATTAATATCAGTAAGAGTCATCCCCACTCTCTAAGGATCATCTTTTTTTTTTTTTGATCTTATACCATCTATATTGAGGATGAAAAAATCACTCAATTAATCACTGTATTTCAACCAGGTAGCCATTTTCTCGAAGTCATCTTTTGATGCTCAAAATGAATCACCTCTGTTTTTTGTTCATTTTTAAATTTTGTTTTATAAGGAAGCTTTGTAGACCTCGTACAGCATCCAATATGGTTCATGACCCACCCCACAAGAGTCATGCACCAGGCAACCCCGGACCAAAGACTATGTAGGTAGCCCCAAGGGGAGATTCAAACTCATGGACTGGTAGCTTCTTGAAAGGGGCTCCAATTCTGTGTCCACACTTAGAATTGGAACGAGCACACAAAATTGAGAACGAAATCAAGAGATAATTAACTTACTAAATCCATCCAGAGAAGCAAGGACCATTTCCCCTGGCAAGAGGCCAAAAAACTTCTTTCCCACTTTAGAGTTTGCAGCTGAACTTGTGAAGAATCCTGAAACTTTCACAACACCTGAAAGCACCCCACCTGCTACTTTCTGTGTCATCTTTGTCACCCTCTTAACCCTACAAGATTAATGCAACTACATCATTATTAAATGTGGTCAGCCCAACTGGTAGGATCATCTGAAATGGAGAACTACTTTCCCTTACAAGTAGCAATTCAAGTCCCTTTTATCTGATATCACCGATATTTCCATGAAAACGAAATCCAAAAGCACAAGAGCACAACATCCATAGACTCACACAGTGCCAACAAAAACATTCATGCAAACAGACAAAATGTAAACGGCCAATCCAAATCAGAGATACAAACAGAGAAAACGAAATCTAGAAAGTAACACAAACAAAACCCAACAGTCAAGCAAAGAAGAAACAACAAAAACCAAACCTTTTAACCCTCTTCAATGTCTGAGGACTAATCTCCGACTTCTCTCCCGCACTCATCCTCTTCTTCATAACCTCATTCCCCCATTTCAATCTATCCACAGTCACATCCCCACACCACAAAATCCCTTTGATCAGCTGACCCGAACCCATCGCAATCAATTTCGCTGCTGTTCCACTGTAATCCTCCACATTGGGCGCCAATGTGGTCCAATACGCCGCACAGTTCCCCTCCAAAACCTCCTTCTTCTTCTCTGATTTCAAGTCCGACGGACTCAGTTCCTTCGCCACATCCACTACTACCCCCTTCTCCTCCACCTTCTGTACCGAAAAACTACTGTAATTCTCCAAAATCCCATCCAATTCCCTCAACAAACCCTCTTGTCCCTTCGACGCAATCGTCAATCCGTAATTCAATATATCCTCCGTCTCGGGCGACGGTTTATTAGTTGTTTCCTCGTCGTCTGAGTCCGATCCGCTCTCTTTAGGAGCACGGAACGAGAAAAAATAGTGCGAGTGATCGAGTTTTACCGCGGTTTCGTCTTTCGTCAATGGCCACTGAATCTCATCGGCGATTCGGGCTAGTACGGCGACGATATTATTGCCTTGTCGGAGACGAAGTATGGATAAATCTCCGGTAGCGAGCTCGACGGAGTATTGTTTGTCGATTAAATGAAGGATTGCGCCGGGAACGACAAGGAGTGTCTCTTCGACGGACTCGGCTGGGGCGGATGGGCAATTGGGATTGTGATCAGGGGTAGTTTCGTAATGTTCTGGGAAAAGGTTTCCGACGAGGTCTTCCGTGTCTATTCTAGGGTAAATTGATGATTGCTGAGCAGAATTGGAGGAGGAAAACGAGGATGAGCTTTCTGGGTTTGAGGCGATCACTTGTGGATACATTGGGGTTCGAGCGTTAGGGTTTTGGGAAGCCATTGTTGGTCTGATCTGAATATCTGATCCGAACTGAGAACGATTCTAAAGAGGTTGAAGATGAAGCTGAAAGTTAGGGATTTAATGAGAAGGACACCGCGTGGCGGGAATACGACTTACGAGGATACCTGTGGACGGGGAAGTTGGGAATTAAATGTCATGGGACCTTCCCGCGCGAACGCTGGCGAATTATCGTTCACGTAATTTTTTTAGACCAAAATGGCCCTGCCAGGAGTCCACGGGGTAGGTTGAAGTTATTTAACATAATTTGATGATATAATTTAAAAATTTAATGATTATGATCATTAGATTGTCAATGAGTCTCAATATTAAAGTATTATTGGTCCCAACCCTATCAATTTAATAGTCATGATACATTAAGTTCATAATAACATTAGTGTTAATCTTGTTGTATGAATGGTATGGAACCACCAAAGAGAAATATATGAAAATGAGAAAAAAATATAATAGATAAATTTAAATAGTTAAATGTGATTAAAGATAAAATTATTTACCGGAGTGAGAATTTTATAATGGATAAAAATAAAAATTTGTAGATGTAATATCCAACATTATAACTTATAAGTGGTTGTAGATGGTCATTTGAAAAAATATAAAAATATTAATAAAAAAGAAAGTTATTAGAAAGAATATATGGATATTATTATAATAATTTTATAGATGGACACCAAAACCTAATTCTCCATTAATTAGTACTGGTCCTCATCGATTTTTTGATTTTTCTTGTTTTCAATTTTGAAGTGAGATGATTATTAGAGAGTAAAAGAGATATAAAAATTATAAGAGATAAATAATGAGAAATTGTATGTAATTATGGATAGTTATAAGAAGTTAATGTTACGGGATACAATATCTGTCACAAAATGATAAAAAGAACTCAACAACAATTATATATTCTTGTCATTTTTCTATACACCTTACTATATATATAAATACACGTACATAAAAATTCACCAAACCTCTTAATGGAACGGCTCGCCATGAACTCTATGTATTTACAGACTGTAACATTGATCTTAAAGCTATAACATAGGATATATAAACAAGACTCCCATGATGACATCCAATCGACCCTCTATACTTGACAACAGACTCCTCACGTCTCTACGGTTTTTTCTTAAAAGTCATTAAGATCATTAGTGAGAGCAATGATGCGATCAATAATTATGAGTACAACAAGTGATAAAGAACACTTTATTTATTTATGAACAACCTTAACAATGCAACAATTACTTACTTTTAAATTACATTTTACCGTATAGACATTGTTCGTATATATTACATAGACATAACGTGTATATACCACATATAGGCAAAATATACCGCACAAATAATTACTTTCACATAATTAAATTGTGTCACGCAACAAATACCCCTCACGCACACACCTCGGGCCATATAACCACACAAGTGATAAACACCCAGTAAAAAACAAATTAATACACAGACAATATTTAATTGCACAGACTCTTATGCCACACAGGCAATATTCTCCACTCAAGCGATAAATTGTTACATAAGCAAAATACGCCACACAGGAAATATCCGTTCATAGGTTATAACTGTCACACAGATAATCCGCCATATAGGTTATAACTGTCACACAGACAATGTGAGTCACATAGGCAACATGTATCGCAAGTTTGTATCACCACATAAATATCATTCATCACTCGAACAACTCAAACCGCATTAATAATTTTCGTCCTTCAGACTACACACACCACATACATAGTTTTCGATCGCGTCACTTAGATGACTTCACCACATAAATAATTTTTGTCACTTAGAAGACTCATGCCACTTAAATAATTATCATCACTTAGACGGCTCATGCCACTTGAGTAATTCTCACCACGTAGAGGACTCATTCCACGTAAATAATTCATGTTACTTAGACGGCCCAAATCACATAGTTCACTCTCATCTAGACGATTCTCGTAAACACTACTGTGTGTCTCTGCTCAATTAATTATTCCCAATAATAACCATAGCAAAAACACATGTATAAAAGTCTAATAAATGATCACGAAAAATGTTGGGTGGTGCACCTAGCTCGCGTGAAGTTATATCTCGTTGCCGATCCTTTCGCTGGAACTTTTAGTGTGACATTCTTAGCAATGTTCATCTTCAGACTTGGAATATCCAATATTTACAATTTCATTCGAACATTAATACGTAATACTGCTTAAGTTCGAGATAATTTATCCGAACCGAGTCCACTTATTATATCGCGTCGAATCGAATAAGTCATTTACATTGAATAACATTATCTACTCGAATCGATTAAACTAATTGTTTAATAATCAATTCAAGTCAAGTGAGGTAATCTATTACATCAAGTAAAATTATCTACTCGAATCGAGTTGAGTTAATCTTCTCAGATCCATTAAGGTAATATTTATTCGAACCAATTACACCCAAATTAAACCTTTCTCATAAAATTATAAATTTCACAAAGTATACTCGAATTTGCATAATTTCCTATAAAATCATAAAATTACATGTTTTCTTGTCATTAATCATACTCATAGATTCATGCAAATTCAAGAACACTTCACAAGGTTTCTACATTATCCACTAAGCTATTATTTCTCTTGAGCAAAATGCAATCCAGATACAACAAATCTATTTTTTTTATAATGACACTAATTATACCCACACACCCACACAAACTTTATGTTAATTTTTCAAGCAACACCCATGGTACTACACATTCATAACAAGCATCATATAAAACCCACATACAATACCCAATTACATTCAAAACATCATTCTTAAACTACATATAATACCCAATATTCATACTAAAAATTTAATCTATAAAATTAAGAGGAAAGAAAATAGGTTAGTTGACTTATTTCTTGCACCACCCCTACACCACCAAGCTCCACCACTATTACCTCCTAGCCTTAGCCAATTTTTTTTTCAAATTGTAGAGCTCCTCTCTTGCCTTTCTTCTCTAGCCGAAAGTTGCAAGGACATGGGTAATTTTGCTTCTTTTCCTTCTTCTTTAATTTTTTTTTATCCTTTTTTATATATATTTTTCCTACATGCAACTAGTGGGATGCATACTAATTCCCTCTCCTTAGCTGCCACTCCCACTCTCCTAATGCCATCCACATGACCTCCTTAATAGAGAGTCTACTTCATGATTGTATGTATGTATATATATATACATATATATATATACATATATATATATATCACACCTATAATAATCTACTAGCTTATTTTTGCTAGCCTTCTATTCTATTTCTTGCATACACCAACACATTTTTTTTGACAATAAGTTGATATCTCATGCTTACTACCCACTTAATTTCACATATTCCTAATATTAATATGCTTATCATCATGAATGTTCGATTTTCACATGATAGGTCACTTCTTAATCACCAAACTAAAATTACTATTCATGTAAAATTAACTTACACACCCCTATATTTTTTTTTTCTCCAGTTCTTAACTCATGACTAAAAGTTTATCATCGAGACCCATACTTATTTCTTTGTATTTTCAACTATTTCATTTTTAAATCTCATGACTAAAATAAATACTCGCATCTAATCCCCCAACACAAAATAAAATGTTTAATTAGTTTGTTCGGATCTGACAATTAAGATAAGAAGAGAAGAGGAGTATTAGAGACATTTTAAATATGGGCAGCAAACTCCCATCGTCAACCTTAATTAATAGTCTATAGATAATATATTTTCGTGCGTGCACGTTTACATTCAACAAAAGTCACATTTCCAAATCATTTGGGATTAAATTCATTTTTATTTATCATAAGTTACACTTGTAAGTTGTAATGTCCCCACGAAACAGGGTTTCACAATAATAATAGATAGTTTTTCATGGATTGAAATCTATCCTTTTTTTTTATTTAACGATCAGGGGTGTCCAGCCAGTTTATACGCAATTCGACTAATCCTTTCTCCGGTCTAATCAAAGGCATGTCATAATAACAAGTACGAGGCTTTCAACAGGCAATTCTTGTTGAATAACAATTCGTTTATTTGAATACAGCATCTTGTTCACATCACTGGTTTACCAACTGAATTCACTACTAAACAAAATATTGCTGGGGCGAAAAAAGGCTTGCACTTGGTAAATTATTGTTTCGATACAGAAAAGGCATGAAGAACTGAAGAAGGCAATGAATGCAGACCACTCCTTAAAATTTCAAGAGGAAAGTCCGAATCTCCATGGGACTGAGCTCAACAATAAGGGCGGAGCTATCTACAGGGCCACCTCTAACTGGTGCAGGCTCACCTCCACTGTCCCCCTTAACCTTCCATGTCAACCTCTTCATCTCTGATTTCTCTTGGTTTGCTGATAAGCTCATTTCCTTTACCTCCGTTATCTGAAAGCATAACACCCACATTTGTTATTGTTGCAGTTGTAATGTGGCATACTCGTGAACAACACTAAGTTATGGATATGTTTTTGGGATTTCTTCATACTGATCTTTATGAAAAGATCCTTTCAAGTTCGGCTTTCAGTCCTTGTCCAGTGTGTGACCAGCCCGAGTTGATGGCGAAGAATTGGACCAAGGACTGGAAGAAGTATGGAATGACGAGCTATACGTACTGTGAAGAAGATTAAACATAACCAGAATCCGACTCTCCAGATCAACAAATGGTTACTTATGCTGAAACTGTAATTCCTTTAGATTTTTAAATACTTTATGTTCCCTCCAGAAATTCCAAAACCATAAATTCAGTTGATATTAGCTACAATCTTATTTGGTCCCTAGGGGATTTTAAAGGTAGAAATACAAATTTTTAAATACTGAGCACTACACATACTTCAAATGCACAGACCAACAAATTGTGTTTCTGACTAGAAATCACAGTGAAATTGGGTTATACAAAATGGCAATGCAGTCGGACCATATTGTTTACAAAATATGTGGACAGTGAAAAACTGAGGCAGCATAAAACATAGGCTAGACTTACAGTTTTTCCAGCAAACATCTTCTTCAGTTCTATGTTGACTAATTTTGAATAGTCTGCATCTTCGTCAGCCTGACCACATTCATAGCGTGAAAGCAGTGTTGAGATAACTAAAAGTGTAAAGCATGTTGAACAAGTGTATTGCATTGAATTTAACTTTCAGCAAGTTAATGCTGTTAAGATAATGTTCCACAGTTCTCATAAGCTTGGATGAAAAACCCTAGCAGAGCTTTCAGCATTTCTGGCTACTCCATTATTGGTTGTACCGAGTTAAATGAAAGCGTGCTACATTAAAGGCCATGTTTTTCTCTTTCACAAGGCAAGATGGTAAAGCTCAGTTGCAATTACTGAATTTCAATATTAAAGGGTATTGTGCTATCCTAACAGTCTAGAGAAAGATCCCTAAAGAACCTAGCATCACAGAGACAAATAAGTGAGGTAAGATTCTCCTTAGCTTGAGTTGTAAATCTATCCAGACTAGTTTTTGCTTGTTTTTTTCAATGGAAATATGGAGGAGCAAAATGTGAAAGGACTTTTACCTCGTATAGATGTGCCAAACGGAGGAGAACACTGTTGTCTTCTAATTCCTGCAAAACCAATTTCAGTGATTTAGGTAGATAGATCACCTAAATCATCAAGCATTAATTTATGTAATCACCTCAAGAGTAATCAATGCCACATTAAGAGGTAAGCTATAGTTTGGATCCATGGCTGTCGCCTTAGTTATATGAGAAGCTTTCCAATCTTCTGATTTCTGTCAGATCAAATGTTTTATTAGGTAATAGGTTGTGGAATGTGGAATTCTAAATTACTGCATCAAGCATACCTCATGTGTGAAAGCTAAAAGAAGGGGTGAGTAAACTTCTTGGCCAGTTGTCCGGCGCCAGTGAGATCCAGCACCTGGCTGGTTGATACTCATATAATAGTTTCCTCGAACCTGATCATGATATTTCAAGAGGATAGTAAGACAACAGGAATTTTTGGTAGCACTCAAATTTGAAGAGCAACAGAAATGGCCACCTGTAACACCCCATTTAGGGATTCATGCGATGAAAAATGTGCAAAAGGTCAATTATAAAACAACTAACGTATGGAATTTAATTACGAAATTTAAGCACCATTATGATAAAAGTATGGGGAAACAAATAATGGAGAAAAATAGATATTTATTAACTTGAGAAGAAAAGGTGGTTGGAGTATGTTATGGGGGTCTACCGTTTTCCAGCAGGTGTTTAAAGCTAGGGGTGGGGTTATTCCCACCCCTAAAATATCTATCCCCCCCTCATTAAATTCTAACATATAGCACTATTAAGTCCACCCCATTCTATAACCATCGTGAAGGATCTTCATTATAAGAAATTGATTGGGACTGGCCATAGAGTTGGAGGATTGTATGGCGTGAGAAATTGCATGTTCTAACTATGACAACTTCTTCTGTTGATTTGTCATCCTTTCTTTTCTATCCTAAGTCTTATGTGTTTTATTTTTGGCATTATCGCCTTGGACACATTTCTAGCTCTCGTTTGAAGTTTTTGATTTCTACTGGTACTTTGGGAAATTTAAATAGTCATGACATTTCTGATTATAGTGTCTGCAAACTTGCCAAATTCACTGTATTTTTTAAGAATAGTTCTATTTCTTTTTCTGCTCTTTTTGATCTTGTGCACTCTAATGCATGGGGTCTAGCCCCCATTGCAACTAAAGGGGGATACTGATATTATGTTTTTTTTATTGATGATTATAGTCGATATTGTTAAATTTATCTTATGAAACAAAGATCCGAATTTTTCTCTATTTTTGTTGCTTTTCGTGTCATGGTTCACACTCAATACTCTTCAGTTATTAGATATTTTTGGTGTGATTTGGGTGGAGAATACCGATACATTGATTTTCTTGACTTACTAAAATCTGATGGAACTATTCAACAATCATTTTGTGCAGACACTACCGAGCAGAATGGTGTGACCGAGCAAAAACACAAGCATATTATGGAGACTGCTTACTCGTTGTTTTTATCTGTGTCTATTCCCAGATCTTTTTGGGGAAAGGCAGTTCTAAGTGTTGTTTATCTCATTAACCGGACTCCTTCTATTATTACTTCAGGTGTAACTCCTTTTGAATAGTTGTATGGTAAATCACCTGACTACTTCTCATTGTGCTTGTTTGGTTGTAACTGTTTTGTTATTCTTCCCAAAGCTGAATGAAATAAGTTAGTTGCTCGTTCTGCAATGTGTATTTTTCTTGGTTATGGTGAGGACAAAAAGGGTAACATTGTTATGACCATATTGCCAAAAAATTGTATGTATCTAAACATGTGGTCATTCTTAAGCATATTCCTTTCTTTTCCATTCCTTCTACTTTTAACACCTTCAACAAATCTGATCTCAGTGACCCTTTTCCTGAAAATGTTGTTGGTGATTCTTATGTTCGTGATATGCTCTCTTATGACATTCCGTCTTCATCTCAATCTTCCTTTCTTTAGTTGTACCCCTTCGTATTGTTCATATTTATTCTCGCAGGAACAAGACTAACTCCTATGCAAGTACAACTCCTTTACCTCTTTCGACTGCGTCAATTTCTAATGATGCGGATCCTCCATCTTCTTGCTATCCTGGGCACATTCGCAAGTGTCCTAGTCATCTTTGTTTTTTTGATACTTCTTATTTTTTTATTTTTTTCATTTTTATCTTCTATTCACTCTTTGTCTGAATCTACCTCCTATAAGGAGGTTGTTCTTGATCCTATTTGGCAACAGACTATCAATGAAGAACTTTCTGCACTACATAAAACCCTTACATGAGATCTTGTTCCTTTACCTACTGATAAGCATATTGTTAGTTGTCGATTGGTATATAATATGTTGGAGTTATAGCCTAGATTATTAGGGTTTTCCTAGATTATTCGGGTTTTCCTTTTTATCTTTGTTTTACCTTTTTATCCTTATCGTATCTTTATTGTTGACTATATATACGGGGGCTCTACACTTAGTTTGTATCCCTTTTACATATCTGAAGTTGGTATCAGAGCCTAACCTCCATCCCTAACCCTAACCCTAACCCTAACCCTAACCCTAACCCTAATCCTAACCTTAACCCTAGCTTTCATCACCCCCTACTGCCACCATCGACAGCTTCTCCACCGGAAAAAAAAAAAAAAAAAAAAAAAACAACCCATTGCTCGCGACAAAAAAAGCCACTGCCAATCGACTGCTATATACCCACAAAGCCAAAACCACAAAGCAAAGCCAACGACCAGCATCGACTGCCTCTACTGCTATACTCATCACCGACCGACTGCCATATACCTCCAAAACCACAAAGCAAAGCCAACGACCAGCACCGACTGCCTCTGCTGCTATACCCATCACCGACCGACTGCCATATACCCACAAAGTTAACACCGACTGCCTCTGCCATCCAAAAGCACCGATTGCCACAAACCTACCGATTGCCCAAATACCCAACACCGAATGCCTCTGCCTCTGCTATCACTTCCCGATTGGATAGACTTATGTCCGCCCTGACTTCTTAGGGTCCGACTTCTGCTACTGCCACCACTACAGGTATATCTCGTGTCTTTCATGTTCGCACCAATCTGTCTCCTCTTTGGATGCTGGACTCGGGTGCGAATGATCATATGACAGGTGAGGCCCACTATTTCACCACTTTTGATGAACAGTTACATACACAAGTTCAGCTAGCAGATGAGACACATGCCCCTATTGTTAGTAGGGGTACAGTCCGCCTCCTAGATGGCTTTACATTACATTCAGTTTTTCATGCGCCAAAGTTGGCCATGAATCTATTATCCGTACATCAGTTAACTAGAGATTTTCACTGTGCGGTTGTGTTCTTATCTGATTCATGTTATTTGCAGGACCTGAATACCAGGAGGATTATTATCAGGGGACATGAGAGAGATGAATTGTATTATATAGGCGATTCACCTCCAGTTTCACCAGTTCCTCCACCTACATCACCTGCACCTGCTTTGTCTTTATCTATTCCTAGCTTACATGCTAGTATTTTACCTAGTACTTGTGGTTATGATTTTTCGTCACAAAATGTTTAGTTGTGGCATGACTGTTTTGGACATACAAATTTTAAATATTTATGTATGTTGTTTCCTGCTTTAAGCAATGCTTGTGTTGGTGGTAAACTTGACTATGTTATATGTTCCCCATCGAAACATGTTAGGACCAGTTATATTCCTCGCATGCACCAGTCACCTAAGTCATTTGACCTAATACACTCTGATATTTTGGGACCCTCTCCTGTTACTGCTTTGTCAGGTGCTCGATACTATATGACATATATAGATGACCATACTCGTTGTACTTGGGTCTACCTTTTGCATAGAAAGTCTGATGTACTCCCTGTCATCATTCAGTTTCTCCAGATGATTAAGACACAATTCGATGTCATTGTTCGTGCTCTTCGTTCGGATAATGCCAAAGAATATGTGTCTGATGCCTTAGTGTCTCACCTTTCTTCCCAGGGTATCCTTCAACAGCTTACTTGTCCATATACTCCTGAGCAAAATGGAGTTACTGAAAGGAAAAATAGGAGTCGAATAGGGATGGTACGTTGTATGCTTAGAGTTATGAGGGTACCAAAATTTTACTGGCATTTTGCTATTTTGACTTCTACCTTTCTGTGTCATCGTACACCGAGTCGTGTTCTTCAGCATATGGCTTCCTTATAGGTCTTGTTCCCTGAGCAGACACTTTTTCTTGTCCCCCTCGTGTTTTTGGCTGCACATGTTTTGTTCAAAATCGGTCTCCTACTCGTCATAAGCTTGATAATACAGCGATTCGTTGTATCTTTGTGGACTATTGTCATCAGTCTAAGGGATATCGGTGTTATAATCCTATTAGGCGTCGTATGTATCATAGTCCAGATGTTATCTTTCTTGAGCATATTCCCTATTTTTCTTCCAATCCTGTGTCTTCCCCTCCGGTTGATGATACTCCCTTTGATTTTTCATTACCACAAGAGCCAGAGCCATTAGTCCCTATCACTACAGAGTCATCAGTCTCTCCTCCTCCACAACCAAAGTCACCAGTCTCTCTTCCTTTACAGGTTTATGTTCGTCGCCCTCGCTCTCATCCCCCTGCTGATATCTCCCCTACCTCAGGCGATACAGGTAATACTTCTCAGTTCGTTGAACATATTGATGTTCCTGTTGTTAGTACTAATGAGATTGCAGGTACTGAGCCAGTTACATTACCTGATGAGACATTGTTAATGGAGGATGATGATTTAGGGCATCGTTATCCATGGCGTGATCGCCGTCCAGTTGATTGTTATGGTTGGACTGCCAGGATTTTATATCCGATCTCTGCTTATATTTCTTATGGTGATTTGTCTCCCACATTTCGAGCTTATAGTATGGCCTTATCAGATACGTCGGCTCCTCGCTCTGTTTCAGAGGCTATGCGGGAGCTCCAGTGGATTCTTACTATATAGATGGAGATGGACGCTCTTCAGCGTAATCATACATGAGATCTTGTCTTTTTACCTTCAGGGGTGAAGCCTGTTGGCTGTCGCTGGGTTTACACCCTGAAATTTCTTGCGGATGGTCTATTGATCGTCACAAGACTAGGCTTGTGGCGAAGGGCTTTACTCAGGTACCAGGTTGTGATTTTGGTGCTACATTTGCCCCCGTGGTATTGACTACTGTTCGGTTGATTATTTCTCTGGCTGCGAAGTACTCTTGGCCTCTTCATCAGTTAGATGTGAAGAATGTGTTTTTTAACGGTGATCTAAACGAGATTATTTATATGGATGCACCACCAGACTTTCGTAGTGAGGGGGAGTATGCTGAAAAGGTATGTCGACTACGTAAGTCTCTTTATGGACTGAAACAGTCACCACGAGCTTGGTTCTCTCGCTTTAGTGATGTCGCACGTTTGGGGTTCACCAGATGTCATTCTGATCATCCCTGCTTTATTCGGCAGAATACTTCCAGACAGTGTGTCATCCTTTTGGTATATGTTGATGATATTATTATTATTACTGGAGATGATGCTTCTAGGACTGCGCAGGTTAAGGTAGACCTTGGGAAGGCCTTTGATGTGAAGGACCTTGGATTTCTGCGATACTTTCTTGGGATTGAGGTTGCCCGTAGCAACAAAAGTGTTGTTCTTTCTCAGAGAAAGTATGTTTTGGATCTTTTTTCAGACACTGGGATGCTGGGGTGTAAACCGACATCATTAACCATGATTCCAAACGTGAAACTTACTGTTGAAGGTGAGGAGTTGAGAAATTCGACTGTCTATCAAAGGTTGGTAGGTAGACTTATCTACCTAGCCAACACAAGACCAGACATTTCACTCACAGTCAGCCGAGTTAGTCAGTTTATGCATAGGCCGTGTCAGCCGAGTTAGTCAGTTTATGCACAGGCTGTGTCAGCCGAGTTAGTCAGTTTATGCAGAGGTCGTGTCAGCCTCATCTTGATACAGTTTATCATATTCTTCGGTACCTCAAGTCTTATCCTAGACTAGGGTTGTTCTATGCATCAGGATCTCATACTGGTTCTCTTGCCTGTTATTCAGATTATGGGAGAGTGTGTGACGGTCGATCTATTACGGGCTTCTGTGCTTTTCAAGGGGCTTATTTTATCTCTTGGAAGAGCAAGAAGCAGTCAGTTGTCTCCCGCTCGTCAACAGAGGCAGAGTATCGGGCACTGGCACTTGGCATATGTGAGATTATCTGGCTACGATCGATTCTTGACGAGTTGGGATTTTCAGTGACTTCTCCATGCACATTATATTGTGATAATCGATCTGCTATTTAGCTTGCTTCTGACTCTGTACTACACGAGAGGACGAAACATATAGAGATCGATGTTCACTTTCTTCGGGAGAAGATTAGCCGTGGTATTGTCACTCCATTGTTTGTGGGGACTAGCGATCAGGTTGCAGATGTTTTCACCAAATCTGTCACTCCATCCATTCTTCAGGATTCTGTTGTCAAGTTTGGCTTAGTTGATATTTTTACGCCTAGCTTGAGGGGGAGTGTTGGAGTTATAGCCTAGATTATTAGGATTTTCCTAGATTATTCAGGTTTTCCTTTTTATCTTTGTTTTACCTTTTTATCCTTATCGTATATTTATTGTTGACTATATATATGGGGGCTCTACACTTAGTTTGTATCCTTTTTACATATCTCAAGTTAATATTAAGACTAAAGATAATGGTTTTGTCAAAAAATATAAAGTTATATTGGTTGCTAATGGTTTTGCCCAGAAATATGGCATTAATGGATTATATGGAGACTTTTGCTCCTGTTGCAAAGATGACCACCGTTCGTACTTTGATTTCCATAGCAACAGTTCATCAATGAAAATTATCTCAGATGGATGTCAAAAATACTTTTTTTTAAATGATGATTTGATGATAGAAGAAATTTTTATGGTTCCTCCTCCTAGTCTCCCTCACACTTCTGGTGAGATATGTAAATTGAGAAAAGCTTTGTAAGGAATCAAATAGGCTCCAATTTGGTTTGAGAAGTTTGCTAATGTGATATGTGAGTTGAGTTTTCATTCAAGTGATCATAATTCAGCTCTTTTTCTTTGTTGTAATTCCGTTTGTCAGATTGTTCATCTCTTATATATTGATGATATGATTATTATTAGGGATGATTATGAGGGCATTTCAATTGGCAACAATTTGAGATGAAAGATCTTGATTCTTTTCGATATTTTTTGGCCATTGAAGTGGCTTCATCTCCTAAAAGTTATTTTCTTTCTCAGTCAAACTATGCAGTTGATGTTATCCAAAGGGATCGTTTGACAAATTCTCGAATTGTTGAGACCCTTTTGGAGCTTAATGTGCACTACATTTCTACAAATGGTATCCCTTTAGATGTTCCTACAACGTATCGAGTTCTTGTTGGCAGTCGGTATATCTCAATGGTACACAGTCTCATATTACTTATGTTGTTCATGTTGTGAGTCAATTTATCTCTTCTACAACTACAGTTCACTAGGTTGCAGTTGTCTGCATTTTTGCGCTATCCGCAGGACACATTGCATTAGAGTTTGTAATTTTTTTCCACGTCTTCTTTTGAGCTTCGTGTTTTTTCTAATACTGATTGGGCAAGTGATGTCATGATCATAAATCCATCACGTAATTTTGTGTTTTCCTAGGTGATAGTCTTATTTCTTGAAAAAACAAGAAGTATATTGTGGTTGCATGTTCCACCGCCGAGACTAAATATTGTGCTATGACTATTACTGTGTTAGAAATAATTTAGTTGAGATGGTTGTTTTCCAATCTAGGGAGTTTCATTTTTTGCTCTCACTCATATGTATTGTGAAAACAAGAGTACCATTCAAATTCAATTCTATTCTCAATGAGCGAACCAAGCATATCAAGATTAATTGTGATTTTGTGCGCCACTGTTTCTAGCTTGGGACTATTTCTTTACCATTTGTTTCTTCTGCTATAAGTTTGAGGGAGTATTAAGAATGTATATTATCTTTTTCTATCTAATTAAGGATAGTTTAGTCTTTTTCCTTAGTATAGGGTTTTACATTTGGTCTTTTACTTAACTTTAGCAACTGATGGAATACGTAATAGAGGCTTGTGATTTTCTTCTTTCTCTTTTACTACCTTTTCTTTGTATGATTTGATCAAAGTTTTTGAAGGGATCCCCCTATCTCAATCCCTTGAAAGCCTTAAATTTTCCCCCTGATTTTCTTATTAAAATGACTGAGAAATTCATTGACTCAAAACATCCCATCTTCCATTTCCTTCATCTTTCTCCAATTCGTTTCGCCTCCAAAACAAAGTTAAGAAAATTTCAATCCACATGATCATAAACTTTCTCAAAGTCAAATTTTCACACTATACCATCCCAAGGATCAAAATATCGTTTTGAAACGGTCGAAACGTCCGAAATATTTCCGTTTTTAAGGAGACCGAAACAAAACAGTGATGAAATCGAAATTTTGATATTTCGAGGTATTCCATAATGTTTTTAAATGTATTATAATATTTCAATGCATTTGCACAATTGTTTTGAAATGTTTTAAGGTACTTCAAGATATTTCGATATATTTTCATCAATGTTTTAGAAAAATAATTCTTAAATTTTTTATTTTTTTCATTATGTTTCCGAAACAGGTCAAAACGTTTCCGAAATATGTCGAAACGTTTTCGTTTCCTAGGTGACCGAAACAATATTTTGATCCTTGTACCTTCCTAATCTCTAAACTATAATCATCCACAATTTCACTGGCAACAAGAGTCATATCCAAGAGAGAGTCCCACTTAAACACTCCCTAAGCCTAACTGAAGACTTTGACAATGATCGTGTACAGACCGGTAACTAACCAAACTGATAGACCTAAAATCCTTTAGTTTTAAAGAGTTGACTTTTTTTTTGGAATAAGAGAGAAAAGTAGAATTTGTAAACCACCCCATTACAAAAGCATTCCCCCCAATGGGGCACCACTCCAACCCCACTAAAGTAGGTCTAGGACGCTCATGGGATGAATAAAGACTAGCAAAGGCAGTAACTCAAAATCTTATCACCAAGAAGCACACCATTATCAAGCTCCATTATATTAATGATTTTCCTCACCTTATTACCATTAGCCACCCTATGAAAAAGTTTTGATTTGTTATCACCCATTTCACTCTGGACTTTTGTCTCAAGCTAACTTCTTCTTCATGCACCAAGTACTCAAATTCATTCCTAAGATCCCTCCTCTCCTTTCTTAAACCATCCTCCTATCCCCCTTCTTCTTCTTCTTCTTCTTCTTCTTCTTCTTTTTCTATCATATCAATTTCATCGATCTTCTTCTAAATGATTTGTTTAGCTTCACAAACATCTCCAAAAACCTCTTTGTTCTATACCTTCAATTTCTGTTTTACAAACTCAAGGTTCTTCATAAACTTCAAACCCTCCCACCTAAGAAACTCACCCTTGAAGTTCGGACCACCACCCTCTAATCTTTTTCCTAAAATCAACATACTTCACCCACATAATCTCAAACCTAAACAGGAAAGGATGGCCTATACTTAGACTCCTGAAGAACTATAGGACAATGGTAAAAAAAAAAATTCCACATATTTCATCTGATTTAGTAAATAGCATTACTGGAAAAAATGGTCTTATGCACTTGAAAGAGCTTTAGAATAACCTTAATTTTCAACACTTACGATGAATTAACCTCCATGACTGAAAAAAACTTTCTTTTATATAGACCACAACACACCTCCATGTCTCAAATTCTCTAAGTATAACTTCATCACCTTTAAGAACTCTTAAGTTCTTTTGATAAATGGTGTTAATGTTGCTCTGTTCCTTGTTCCTAATCACCACTGCCTCTCCAGTGTTCTACAGAATCTAACAGAACCCAATTCTCTTTTCTACATATTTCATTGGCCTTGTTAATATCATTACAGAAAAGGATGGCCTTGTTCACTCGAAAGGGCTTTAGAGTAACCTCAAATTTCAACATTTCTGACAATTCACACTAAATTCACCTCCATGAGTGAAATAAACTTTCTTCAATACAGACTACAACACACCTCCATCTCTCAAATTCTCTAAGTATAACTTCATTACCTTTAAGAGCTCTAAGTTTCTTTTGATGAATGGTGTTAATACTGCTCTATTCCTTGTTCCCAATCACCAGTTCCTCCTCTGCTCTTCTCCTCCCAAAACAGAGGATTACAGTTTCCTTGAATCACATCCTCTAACATCTTCTCGAAGGCGGCATCCCCTACCCTACCTTCATGAGAAAGCGTGACGGAGCAATGCCGCGTGGAGGTAGAAGACCCAACTTCTGTTCCTGGAGAAAAAGAAATGACGATATCTGGGGAATAAGTATTGACTAACGCTGTGCCAGCAGCCGCAGTAATACAAAGGATGCAAACGTTATCCACCTTTAGGGATGCTTCAACTTAGTAATTCTAAAAAATTCTCAGAAACCATTACCCTTGGAACTTTTTTAGAAACACTTCTTTCCTATTCCACTGCATAGCACAACAAAGAGACTCTTTTAACAACATTAAACCTTCTTTGTTGAAGCTACAAAGAGAAAGATTCGAGTAGATTCCATTTTACAATGCGTATCAAATCTTCATATGCACCTTCAAAATTCACAATCTCCACGAATGGGCTCAAGGAAATGCTTTTGTCATCACTAATACTTTCTATAAAATGAAAATTTTGTTTCTCATTAAAAAAAAAAAAAAGAAATTTCATGAGGTAAAAGTCACGAAGGAAAAGAGAAGACCTCATTTGCTCCCCTGGTAAAGGTAAAAAATTAACAGAAAAAATCTAAAACAAAATAATAGAAGAGTGAGAAAAAGGAGAGAGGTTTCTTAGTATAAGCATAGTTGTGAAGTAATGATTTTTTGTTGAGATATAGTAGGGAAAAGGGGTGGGGTTGGTTGAAAGTGTATCTGATGGGGGAGGTACACCACCTATTTCACAAATGCATGACCCCTCGAGACTATGATGAGGAGCTTGCGCATATATGATGTTGTTTTGGTGACAATCAATTCTCATGCACAATTTAATCGAGTAAAAAGGTGTTATCAAGACTATATATTCTCTCTAAAGCTGAAAGTCAACTTCTCGAGTGAAAAATAGATATTGCAAGAGTAGAACACAACTAAAAAAGAAATCTTTTTACCCTGGAGTCTAATCATATAATATATTACACGCAGACTTACAACTCAACTCAATGTTATACCAACTATTTAGGGCCGACTACATCAAACATGTTCCTACATTATGCTTTATCAAGGTCATATTTATTGCTGAATCACAAACTATCATATATTTATTTTATGTCTCATTCAAAGCTAACTTCCTCATTGGAGGTACTGGGTCTTCTACAAATATGTCTAAACCACCTAAGTAAATTGTCTCTTAATTTAGCTAATGTTGGTGGTAGTGGTACTTCTCTTCTGCCCTTTGTAACTTACACACACATCTATCTTATCATTCACATTTCAACTACACTTACAAGAAAAAAACAGAAGAAAGAAAAAGAAGAGAAAGATTACAATGCCAATATGGGTGTACAAGGCCACACCTTTTATCAAGATGGAGCAAAGAACAAAGCAACGTTCCCTTTCAAGGAAAGGACTTATAAAGGGGGAAAAAGAGCAAAGCTTGCGTAAAGGAGAGGCACACACCAAATGACAAACAAAGAACAAGGCTAACACAATTTAAGAGAACCTAAAAGCTCAAACATAGAGAATGTCCAATGGTTATTTATTTAATGGTTTGTCATGATAAACAAGCTTTAGAGATTGTTTTCCATCACTAAAACCGAGAGAACATCTGTGAACAGTACACGAGCCTTGCATCCTCATTCCTAAACTAGAGGCGGAAGAAATGTAATAATGGTTGTGATAAAGAAGCTATTCCATCTAGATGAGCTCTACCCTTTTTTATGATCCTAAGGGAAACCTAGCATGTCCATTTTCCAATGACTCACATTGACCTTGGGGAAGAAGGAGATCAGGAGAGGGTGGCAGACTACGTTAACTGCCAGTTGATTTTAATGGCCTAACAACAGTTAGAGGAATGCAAGTTAGGAGGTGAGAGTGAAAGGCAATAAACATAATAATTCTTAAATGAATCATCCCAAAAGAAAGGATACATAGATGAAGTGCATATAAAAGTCCCTTCCCTGCACCATTTTGCTGAACTCTACATTCTTATGGACTCATGATTTAGTGAGAGAAAGGAAAAGATATTGCAAAGGAAAACATTTTCTCGTTTGATTTTGTCTGTGTTGTTTCCTTTTGCATTTTCACGAATTCTAATCAAATACGAGAAAACTCTAGTTTGTAACTTCATGCAGCTAGGAGAGAAAATGGGACAGAATTTCCTGTCCTTTTATCTTTTCCTTTTCCATTTGCTTTCCTTTTAAATCCACAAACCACATGGAGCATTCCTAAATGAAATTCAAGCTTCCCTTGCTTCTTGGAAGAAAACTGTCCATTACTATTTTTTCTCGTGCAAGCCTTGTGAGTAACATGATAATCAAACAGTTCCCTCTTGTCAACTGTACAGTTATTATTCTTCAACACTCCGACAAACAAGCCTGACCCGAGAAACATGCTCAGGCAAACAGCATCCCCACTTGTCCTGTGTTATTGTCATACACATTTTTTCTATATGCCTCATTCTTTCCTTTTGCTTTTGTGTGGTATTTATGATTGTCCACAGAAATTTGAAATGTTGTAAATGCCTAGAAAAACCCATTCCCTTGCCATGCCAGGCTAGGGGGTTTTATCAGAATCTTTATTTGAACATCCAGGTCAATGACAAATCCAGACATGATATAAGCAAAGGCCTCGATTTGATTGACATGGACCTGAAAGTTGCCTCTTCTAGAGTATAGAATGAAAGTAACGCATTCAGCAGATTAACATGAACCAAAAGGCAGAAGGATGCTAAGCATGAAGTACTGCTGGTCTGGAATTTCATACCGTGAGTCCTTCGCATGTATTCTCAGCACACACTGTCTCATCAAGTGCTTCATCCACTCCTCTAGAATCATCAAAGATCATACGCCTTGAGGATAACAGAAAGGGTAATCAATTTAATGTCCATATCAACAAACACTATATAACAAAACTCAATATCAAATGTAAGAGGCATTATGTTAACCTATGAAGCATAAGTTCTACTTCTCCATCTTTGATGCTAGCTCCTCCAGTGGCACGGTCAACTAAAACTGAGAATTCGGCTTGCTTATCTGCTTCGAAAATTCCAAGATTGAGCTGAAAATAAAAAGCAAGACAATTCTGCTCATCAAAATTCATTTCATATTTATGCGGATGTTCCACAGTATTTGAAAGTAAATGGAAAATCTTGGCCTGAACATTTGATGGAAAACTATGGAACAAAAATCTTATACCTAGACTGTATATGTATCTATTTTTTTAATGATGCAAATGTCAAAGGACACGTGGAAGTTAATTGTTACGTGCGCATTTTTTATATTTTTATAAGTTAGTATTAGGAGTTTGAATTGGTCAATGGGTTAGTGATATAGTATTACTAGGTTTCTTAGGTAGTTATCTAGGTAGTAAGGTCAATGAATTTAGTAGCTATCTTTTAAGTGTTATCTCTTTGTATTTAAAGATGTTAGATGAATGGAAAATGGAGTTAATATTTGTGATACACTTTCTTGTGAAAGGTTTGGGCGGACAGGTTCCCTCGAAGTGAACTAATGGAGGTTTTTACCCCACTCGGAGCGGGTCACTTCCTCCCCTATCCTGTTTTTCTTTTATTTCTAAATCCTTCAAAATTGTGCACGTAATAATTGATATCAGAGCCAACGATCCTATTAATGGCTACACCATTAACGATTTTGAAGTTGATGCGTAATGATCTCCAAAAATCATTCAACAAATTGATTGAGGAAAATCGGTGGCATGCTAGAAGGATTTAACGAGGTTCGTAAAATTTTTCAAGAAGAAAACTTTAAAGCCAACTAAGTCACGGTAGAAAAGAAGACTGAATCGATTACAACACATAAATTAGAGCAAAAGGACGTGCTCAAGAAGAAAGAGAGGAAAAACAATTTTGGAATCGTGGTGCAGGCGGCGCATGGGCACAATGTTCCAGCAACATCTAATGGTGGGACACAATCCTACTTCATGACAGGAGCTACATGGCATCCAATTGGGAGGTATCGAGTATTGGCCGTGCAAGGATTTGGCACCAAACAGCCCACTGGTCAAGTGCCTAAATGTGTTGATCATGTTGATTGTTACATAGATGTGGGAGTGGGTTGGTCTTGTCTTATTTATATGATCAATTAAACTTTGGGGACAAAGGTTTTAAGGGGGAAGGATTGTTATGTGCATATTTTTTATATTTTTATAAGTTAGTATTAAAAGTTTGAATTGGTCAATGTGTTAGTGATATAGTATTAATAGGTTTCTTAGTTAGTTCTCTAGGTAGCAGGGTCATTGAATTTAGTAGCTATCTTTTAGGTGTTATCTCTTTGTATTTAAAGACGTTAGAGGAATGAAAAATGAAGTTAATATTTGTGAAAAACTTTGTTGTGAAAGATTTCAATTTCTCCTCAAAGTGAACCAACAGAGGTTTCCACCCCCCTCGAAGTGGGTCTCTTCCTCTCATATTCTGTTTTTCTTTTATTTTCTAAATCCTTCAAAATTGTGCACGTAATAGTAATCCTAGAAAGGAAAAGTACGGTCCCACCATCTCCCCAATAAGTGGTAGCAGAACTAATGGTCAAAGATCTTGTGTGACCTCTTTAAGTAGCGGCATGCCAGTATCAATGATGGCTCTTTAAAAAGAACGATAATGAGCCCTTGGAATTGGATTCACAGTGATCAACTAATGGTGAGCTATTGGGTTGAACCCTCGTAGCGATGGTGTGGTGTCCTGCGAGTGAAGCAAATCAAGGGCACTAAGTTTAGCCTCGATGGAATAGTGAAGCGGTTGACCATAAGAGTCTCGCTGGAGCAGAGCAAAGTAAAACATGGGCTAAGGCGTAGGCTCTTGCAGGTGGGGAATACTGTGACTCATGAAAAGTGTTAAAGCTTAGTTCTTAGAAGATTAGACTCTTGTAAAGAGGAATTAGGATACCGGTGCTTACGGAGAGTGGTGGATCAAACTCAAGTGGGAATGGAAGCCTGATGTTACTCCCATGTGAGAGAAGATTATTGAGGACACATGTGAATGGTTAATCCCAAATTCGAGGAGTGGTGTGTAAAAGAATGAGTAATACACATTGGATGGACTCACTACTTGCATGCTTAAGCTTTTACATGGGTTGAGTTCCACACATATATTTTAGACATGCGGTTGGGCTCCCGTGTCTCCCTAGTAGCCTACAGATGTTAACATGTGTTGTTTTTATGTTCACGTGACAAATGTTTGTCCCAAACAGGAGGCTAGCCCCCCCCCCCCCCCCCCCAAAAAAAAAAAAAAAGTACGCAACAAATTCTCTCCTGTCCAAATATGATCATTGTAAGTTTGAATCGGGCAAGTCCCACTAGCTAGAGAGGCCAGCCTAAGATAAGATTGCCACATGAGACTGGGATCTATCCCTTGTACATGGACACACCGGCACATAGCTCATTTAATTCAAGTTTCATGTTTTAATTTAATGCCATTAAAACCAAAGTTGAAAAAATTACTGGATAATAGTTTCCCGCCACGGGTTGAGTCACTCGAAGAGACCAGTCTGCTCTGTAATCTCGAACCTGAAAGAAATATGATAACAAAGACAAAGTTAGAACAAAAAAAATTCGAAGATTCAACAAATAAAGGATATAATAAACATAGTGAGGGGAAAAACCAAAGAGGTTACAAATACACTTCAGCCATAAGATAGTAACCATGTGGACTTCATGACCACCATGTGCCCAGTTGACAGATTTGCATGGAAAAGCATATTTGACTATCCTACGAAACCCAAGGGCATGCTTGTCTTTTTCAGTTGTTTTAAGGCAAGGCAAGGCAAGATCTGGCAGGAAAAAGACTAAGAGTAAAACAAAACAAGGCCAGTTGAAAAATTACGGCCTAGGAATGCATAATCTGGGATTCTTGTCTCGCAGGATTGTCTGTGGACTCCTTTAACCTCTCGAACATACATCTCAGGACAAATCGATGAGTTTATATGAAAATTACAAGTCAAAATATGGCCAGCAGCACCTGAATATATACCCATGAAGCAATAATTGGTACTTCACAGCAGTATGCTTGAGAAACAACTTAAAGTGCATAGTAATGTGCAACAAAGTCAGGCAAAGCTTTCAGGGCAGCTAGCTTAATATGGGATCAAAGCTTTGGTCCTGGGGGGTCTTCACTCCAGGTCTCTTCTATTTGTGCACTCGAGCCGCCAAATTCTGTTTATATGCCTACCTTTCATGTGCAAATGGGTGTTTTGGGTGGCTGGGGGAGGGTGGAGGTGGGGGACAGGTGAACTTGATATAAATTTTTGAACCTACTCTCTTTTGAGCAATTGGTACTCTTAACTTTTATATTTCTATTTACAGTCTTAATCTGAAGGAAGAGATTACATCTGTGCTCCCTGTTAGAATAATATTAGAATTTGTGGCACATTTACAATATCATTGGACTTTTTTTTTACCAGAATATCATTGGACTAAAATGGCAAACAAAATGCAGAAAAATATGGAATATTCTGTTCCAAATGATCAAGTTATTATATTAATGCGACCTCAATGTGAATTTTTGGTAGCATACACTGCCAAGTAATACCTCAAGGATATTGACCTACTCTTTTTCCCAGATGTTCAGTCTACCATTACACATCAAGAAATAGGATGCACAGGTCTATCCAAAAACTTCCAACAGGGAAATAGTAAAGATAGACAGAAAACTCTTAATAACTTTCTTCCTCAGGCCTTAAAATTAAGTAGAGCTCTAAGGATGAAATGCATACCTAGCCGTACTTGTCTTAAATGGAATTCATTCTTGTCACATTACAGGAAAGAAGTAAAATATGGCAACAATACCATAAAAATAACCTCAAAATACGCAAAACTGAAGAAGACAGTGAGTATAAAGATAAAGATGTTCTATCAGAAAATTCAGCTCTAAATCATGACAAGATTGATGCAACAAGAGTATATGATTGAAATTTGAAAATAACAAAAGGAATGGCTTTTCCTGGAGGTTTCTGGAAGGCTTCCAGTCCAAAAAAGAACAATCAAATGAGAGTTACCCGTTTTAGGAAGTCCCTCCCATTGGAGTCAGTGTAGAAAACTTTGTCTGTGGCAATGTTGGCTGTCATTCTTGTGATGACCTCCTTTCCAATACCATCTTCCATGGGAATTGGACCAATCTTCAATTAAAAAGTTTATCAGAACGAAACAACTTGAGAAAATAATATTATCTTTTTTCATTCTACATACTGCAAGTATTTCATTCTACATATTACCAATGGTCGTATGGTATCCAATGTTTCTTCAGAATTTGAACTCCTCAAGTATGCTTTGAAAAAAAACACTTCCACAGTACGACGTACAAAAAAGTGTATGAGGTTGACTTACAGTGAATTCAACTTCAGCATGCTCTTTGTCTTTGTAAAGTCTAATCACCTGACAAACATTCGCAAACAGAAGCTCAGCAATTGACAAGTTGTGGAAGAAGGAAGCCAAACCAGAATTATTGATGGATGAGCAGTAACAGTCGTTCCACTAAGACTTGAATAATATTCAATGATCCAATGTTATTTAATGTGTGAAGCAAACCGGTCTCCTGAGGCCTAGGCGAGAAGCAAAGCAAACGCTTCATCGAAGCAAAGCGCAAAAATATAAAAAATAAATAAATATTTTAGTTTAATACTTTGATTACTCCTAAATACTCAAGTTTTAACTTTACAAATACAAAATATTTAAATGCAACCAAAATAATAAACATCTACATATTTTAAATAGACAAAATATTAAATATTGAACGTTATTCTATTCTAAAAATAATAAATTGACATAATCATGTCATCTAAATGGAAAGCTAGCAAATGTGGGTTTTGACTCCAACCGTGATTGATTAATATCACTACTAAATAGAGTACTCACAAATTGATTAATTAATTCGATTAACCAAGCAAATTGATTAACAAGATCATTCACCACAAAACAGAGTATTCAACATCATCTAATCATAACAAGACAGATTACCATATGATACTGTCAGATGAATCAATTAATTTATTTTATACATTTATATAATAAAATAGCTTACAATTCAAATTTCAAAAGATAAACAAAATAACTTTTACTTTTCGCGGTTCAGATCGCTTTAAATTTTACTTTAAAATTAATTTAACGACTAATATTAACACCCTAAATTTAATAGAAAAAATAGGCCTCTAAGGATGTGTTTGAAGTGACTTTTTAAAAGTACTTTTAGAAATTATTTCTCATAAATATTTTAAAAAAAAAATTGTGTTTGAAATCGCCTCACCACTACCTCTACCACCACCACCCCTGCCACTGCCACCACCACCACCACCACCACCACCACTACCACTACCACTACCACCACCACCACCTCCGTCGCCATCACTGTCGCCACCACAACTACCAGCACTATCACCATCACCATCACCACCACTGCCACCGCTACCACCACCATTGCCGCCGCTGCCACTACCACCACCATCACCATCACCATTGCCCTCACCGCCACCACGGTCATTGCCACCTACCACAACCATCACCGTCTCCTACCACCACTATTGCAGCCTACCAACTCCTTTTTTTTTGGGGGGAGAGAAAGGGGGAGGGGGGCTTGAACCCTTGACCTCAAGAACATAAAGTTTTTACAAGCCAAGGAGTACCACCACTACCGCCCACCACCTCTCACCCCCATTACAAACCGATGTTTAAATTACTTTATCTCTTCTCTATGTTAGTGATTTGATTTTGAATATAAATACAAATATGTTTATTGTTTACCATTTTTTATTACTTTGTGCCTTTAGGTACAGGCAATAACTAATATACGTATATAACATCATATCTGCTAAGATTTAGTTGAGGGTTTAATTGATGTTAAGTATGAGCAGAAGAAGAAGAAGAAGAGGAGGAAGAGGAGGAGGAGAAAAAAAAAATTGCAATCAAGTGTTCGCTTTTCTCTTCTAACTCACTTCTTCAATTCGTCGTCTAGGCTCGTTTTTTCCTCACTTTACTTAACCTTGCTTCACCTTGGTTGTTCAAGGCGACCAAGGCCTGCTTCGCTTCACTTCTAGCCTAAGCGCGCTTTTTACGACACTACAATGATCAATCCTCTTCTGCAGTCACTCATACTATAAATCAATTCAACACAACACACAAATTTTTGGTTTTCACCTTTTTTTTTTAATAAAAGAAGAAGAAATACAAGAGGACAAGATTGAGCACAATATATCCTCAAAGAAAAACAAAATAACATAAAATAAAATTCATAAATTAAAGAAGAACCAGAAAATGAAACCAAAAAGATTGAATCCTTGTCACTTCATTCTCATCATTGCATGCTTTGGATCCCTGACTAGAAAAAAATGATTAGCTATGTAATAAATGTCCTTCAGAACAAATTGTAACGCAATAAATAGCAACCTAAAGTCATTCACCACAAAACAGAGCATTCAACATCATCTAATCATAAGAAGACAGATTACCATATGATACTGTCAGATAAATCAATTAATTTATTTTATACATATACATATATAACATCATATCTGCTAAGATTTAGTTCAGGGTTTAATTAATGTTAAGGAGGAGCAGAAGAAGAAGAAGAAGAAGAAGGGGAGGGGGAAGGGGAGGAGACGGAGGAAAAAATAAAAAAAATTGTAGTCAGGTGTTCGTTTTTCTTGTCTGGCTCGCTTCTTCACGTCGTCGCCTAGGCTCGTTTTTTTCCTCGCTTTACTTAACCTCGTTTTACCTTGGCTGTTCAAGGCGACCAAGGCTTGCTTCGCTTCGTTTTTTGCCTAAGCTTGCTTTTTACAACACTACAATGATCAATCCTCTTCTACAATCACTCCAACTAAATGGATTGCATAAATCAATACAACACAACACACAGATTTATGGGGCCTGTTTGATTTGCGTTTCAAAAAATAGTATCCGAAAACAGTTTTTGAGAAGAGTTTTAAGAAATAATTTTTAAAAAATTTTAAATTGCAAAACCTATTTGATTATATATTTTTAAAAATAATTTTAAAAAACAAAATTTATAAAATTTCTTTAGACAATAATCCACAATTTTCACCTCTCCTTCAACTCTTGGTCTCTCTCTCTCTTCAACTATCTGTCTCTCTCTTTCAGCACCCAAAAACCCACAACTACCAAAAAGCCACCACCGAACCACCCAAAAAAACCACCACCGAAACCAGAGCCACCCAAAAACCCACAACCACCCAAAACACAAAGTGAGGTGGAGAAGAAGTTGCGAAAGAGAGAGAAAGAGGCAGTGGAAGCACAACTATACTCAGATCTGTGTATATGCACAGCTTTATTCTCTCTTTTTTTTGAGGTGGTCTCTCTTTTTTTTTGAGGTGGTCTCTCTTTTGTCTCTGTTAAGAATATTAGAATAGTATGTGTAAATTTTTAATAATATGAGGATGTATGTGTAATTCTTATTATTGTAGGTTAACTATAAATGCAAGTGATGTATGAGAGCTAGGTTAAGTTTTAACCTCTCTTTCTCTCTAATATTGTGTTATTTTAATTCACTCAACTTAACATGGTATCAGAGCCTATACGATTATAAATATATATTCTGAATAAATTTTGTTCGTAGTGGTGGTATTGTTGTGGTGGTGTTGTAGCATCGTGGTGGTGGTGCTACTTTTGTGGTGGTGTTGATACTGGCTGTGGTGGTGTGTTCATCGTGGTGGTGTAGGAGTGTCGTTTGTCGTGGTTTGGTGGTCATCGTGGTGTGGCTGTGGTTCGTGGTGGTTTGTCGGTCGTGGTTGTGGTCCAGGAGCACTCGAAGACTAGGGTTACTGTAACCCTAATTGACGAAGAAGAAAGGGTCGTTGTGGTTCGTAGTGGTTTGTCGGTCGTGGTGGTGGTCCAGGAGCACTCAAAGACTAGGGTTATTGTAACCCTAATCAACAAAGAAGAAAGGGTCTAGACCCGAGAAAAGGTCCAGACCCGACTTCGGTCCAAACCCTCCAGCCCATGGTCTAGTCCAGACCAAATCAATCCCAGTTTGATCCCGGTTCAGCTAGATTCAGAACGGTTCGTTCAGTGGTCCCTCCGATTCAGCGGTCCAGTACTCTTGTGTGGCCCAGTTCAGTCTGTTTGAGGCCAGTTCAGGCCCGATTCAGTCATTTTTAGACCGGTTCAAGCAAGATCCTTCTGTTTTGTCTCCGGTTCAACAGTCTAGTGGCCTTTTCTAGTCCGGTTTAGCAGTCCAGTAGCCTTTTTTGGTCTGGTTCCGTGGTCCAGTGAACTTCTTTAGACTAGTTCAGTGGTCCAGTTCAGCCTCCAATTGGGTTCTCCAACCCGATTTGGTGATCCAACAATCTTTTCTTCTTTCGCTCATCGGTGCAGAAGCTGATTCTTGTCTGGTTCACTTTTTGTTTGCTATTTGCTACATTGTTATGGAACCCAAGCAAGATTTCAGGTCCCCCACTCCATCTTTGCCTCCTCCGACTCTTATTAATGGTTCCATGACCTCTGTCAAACTTAAAGGGACTAACTACACTTTATGGTCCCGATCTGTTCAAGTTTTTCTTCGAGACAAAGGATTTAAGAAATATTTGATGAATCCTAAACCCAAGGAAGACACTCCTGGGTATGATCAGTGGGAACAAGAGGATGCTCAAATTATTTTTTTACTATTGAATAGCATTGAGCCTCTAATACTACTCTGCTCTACCTTGACATTACCAAGGAGATATGGGATCACTTCGCCACTATGTATTCTGGTACAGGCAATTTTATCCGAGCTTATGAGGTGTGCAAGGAATATTTCTGGTTAGAACAGAATACTCTTAGCATTGAGGATTATTACTCTCACGTTCGAGCAGTTTGTGAGGAGATGAAGACCTACCATCCATTTACTATTGATGCAACAGTTTGGCAGAAGTAACATGAGGACATGAATGTTGTTAGATTTTTGGTAGGTTTGAAACCTGAATATGAGGATATTCGTTCTCAGATTTTGGGTGGCTCTACTCTTCCCTCACTACTTGAGGTTTTCTCTCGCATATAGCGTACTACTTTGTCTACTTCAAGTATCAATCATAGTGTTTCCACTGATCGCTTAGCTCTTGTGGTTCCTAGTAGCCATATTGATGGTTATCGAGGCGGTAGAGGTGGTCGAGGAGGTCGTACGGGTGGTCGTGGGGGCCGTAGTGGACCACATTCCTGTACTTACTGTGGTCATGGAGGGCATACTGTTAATTTCTATTTGGATTTACATAGAAAACCTTCTGATACTGCAAATCAGGTTTCTTATCAGGATGACACCTCCGTTGGGGCTTCTATACCTCGATCAGCTCCACCCGATACTGGGTCAGTTACTATTACACGAGAAGAGTATACTCAATTCCTATCCCAGCAACAGGCTGTTCCATCTCCCTCCACTACTACTTTTGTCCAGTTAGGTACTGTTTTCACCTGTTTATTGTCCTCCACTCGCAGTCCTTGGATCATAGACTCTGGCGCCTCTAACCACATGACTGGTGCGTCTGATGTTTTTTCTGCTTATCAGTTTCCTACTTCCACAAATAGTATTAGTCTTGCTAAAGGTACTTATTCTAAAGTTTCAGGTCTGGAGACTACTCACTCGAGTCCTGATATGTCCCTATCTTCCGTGTTATTTGTTCCTCAGCTTCCTTTTAGTTTACTTTTCAT